CTGTCTCAGGTGGCCTCCGAGATGTTTGAGGGCGATTGGGAGAACTTTTCCGGGGACACCATCTGGCCCAGGGGCCTTTTTGCGTCTGCGCAAGCGCTCCATCACCCAGTCCATTTCGTCATTTGTGACGGAGGGGCGTTCTGTGAACTCCTCCACCTCCACCACGGGGACCGTAATTCTCGGGGGGTTGTATGGAGGTTGCTCAGGGAACAGCCCGACAACCACTCGATTTAAGAGCTCCGGCTCCAAGGACTCCATTGGGGCGGCTTATACTAACACACCCCTTCCATACGGACTCGTGGGTAGAGGTGCTAAGCACCACCGGGTCTCGCCATTCCCCTTTGGCCAACGATAAGGGAGTTAGCCCTTTATCACATGTGACAACCTCCCCACGAATTACGTCATCCGTCATCGTCAAAAAGTAGTTTTTGAGATTGTATACCTCGCGGTTGTGTATGGTTTTGACATTTAATAGGCCTCTGGAGCCGCCAGACCAAAAGTAATAAAATAGTAAAATTGTTGCGTTCGCAACAGCCTCTACTGCCACACTTCCTAGGGACATACAATCTCATAACCGACGATCTCGGATGATGCATTTGGTGAGAGGTCCTCGTCGTGCGGACTCGTCTATCCAGAGCGTCTAATTCCGTCTAAGTCCATCTGAGCACGCCAAATGTGTAGGTACATCAGAACCAGCATGACCCAGGAGTTATAAGCTCGGATCTTATTAAAGCCTGATAAGTAGCTGTTTATCTCATTTTTCAGGCGCCTATAAAAACTCATAAATGTTATTGTCATCAATCGTTAAAAGAAGCGATCATTAATAAAAAAAAGAATCTAGTATTATTTTTGAATACCAAATATTAATTTAGTATACTAAAACATAATAATAGTGATACTTTGAATGCAGTTCATTAATAATTTAACACTTTTAAACATATGCTAAAACAATGGTTAATTTGAAAAAGTGAACATTTATAATATAACAATTATTTTTTATTATATTAAAGTTTTATTATATTAAAGACAACAATAGAGGGTTTTGTTTATAACCTATTCCGTTTATGTCTGTCAGCTGATACACTAGTTACTATTTCTTTCCTAATATTCTTTAAATCAATCACCATTTCTCTGAGATAACATTAAGCGCGCTTGCGCACTACATCCGATTCGTATTCGTTCCGAATCCGAAATTATAAATCTAGAAAAGTCGGACCCACTTCGGGTGTCGCTTGTGCACTAAGTCCGATTAAAAGCTGAGAAAACACGAATGTCGCTTATGGCACCGAGAGATAAAAAGATCCTTGTGACATTTCGGACCGTCATTTTTCGGATTCGGAGATCGGACGTAGTAGGTATACAAACGCTCACACACTGACAAATTACACTTTCCTTTCTAGGAGTAAATAATATTCGGCAATTCTTGCACATGCACAAGAATGCGCGAGAATTCTCGAAAATTTTGGCTCGTTCCTAGTTTGTACGTTACACAATTGACCATAGAGTTCTTTATGCTGTGTACTACAATCCGTTCCGCCGCAATATAAATTGAGACTTAGGCATTTAATTTTTCTTAATATAATTTTAAAACACCAAAAATACGCCAGCTAACTTCTCTTGAGGCGACAGTGGCGCCACTCTACCTCTACTCTCTCTCCTCAAATAAATTATTATTATTATATATTTTACACTCTCGCCCCTCCCATGGCCTAAAAGAAAAATTTTATTATTATTATTACATTTTGCACATTCAGGTCTGCTCGTATTTGATTTTTTTTCTTTGGAACCAATCCGCGTACAACGGTATAATAGTTATTTGTTCAACAAGAGAGCAAAGTCGTTTTTTGGTGCGAGTGCTGTTTTTGAGTCCTGAGCAAGCGAAAGATCCTATAGTTGAATCACGAGCGTAGCGAGTGATTCAGAATTAGAATCTT